AACAGCTGTAGAGTAAACATAACCTTTCTATTACTATATATATTTATATATATATGTATATATATGTAACGGGTATAGACTACAACTGAAACATACTATAACATACAGGCACTTAAATAGAAGATAAATCTTCTACAAGAGTGGTTTTAACCATGTGGGTTTAAGCATGGACGTTAATATATTTCCTCCATGGTTTAAGGGATTAACAGTATAGAAGGTGTGAAAAGGATTGACTACAGGGCACAGGATATAATAAGGTTTATTAATTAAAACTAGACAAAGGAAGACTGTAGGCTAGAACAAAGTACATTACATAAAGAAGGTATAATAATTAAATATATATAATATTGTATATATATATATATATACAGTATATGTGTATATATATAGATGTAAATATATATACATACACACACATATATATTATATATATATGTATAATATTATATATATTATATTATATTTATTATTATATTATTATTATATTATATATTATTATATATATTATATTAATATATTATATTATTATTATATATTATATTATATTATATGTATAATATTATTATATATATATATGTATTATATTATATGTATAATATATATATATATATATATTATATATAAACTTAGTAAGAATGCATGAAGTAGAAACGCATACGTTGACATAATAGACATAAAATAGGCCTAAATTTTTATTTTTGAATATTTCGAGCACTCCTGTGCTCTTCCTCAGCGATAACTACCTACGTGGTGTACCGCAAATTAATATGCTATTACTTCGCCATGTAAACCTTCAGACAGTGTCAGTATAATCTTAGGTAAGCAGGTGGTTAATAGCATCCCTTCGCTGCCAAAAATGTTTTTTTGGCAGTTGCGTCCCCGGTGACATCGTGAGGGCATGGTGAAGGCTGGTTACAATTTGGTGGCACATCGATTGAGTATTTCATTCATCTAGATGTCTGGAAATGGGAGGGCTGATAGGGAGGGGGGAAAGAGTGAAGTTGAAGGTGGGCCCCGATGATCAGTTGAGGGGCGCTAAGTCGCAAAATAAGGAGATTTTAGGTGATTTTTAAATACTTGACCGTAAATTTTTTGGGGGGAGGGGGAAGAGGCGCGAGTAATTTTCGGGTGGGGGGAGGGAGAGTAGATACGCCACTGATGTAAGTACAGATTCTTGCCTTTACACATTTGTATAGCTTATGGTGATATAAATTTAATAATTAGACAAAGATCTTGCAAGTCTACCTATAGGCCTACACTTAAATTAGTGTAGAAAACTAGATTGTGATTATTCACCGGACGTTGATCCAAAACAATGACGTCGGTACGATGTTTCTTTAAAAAAAATAACAATTACGATGAATATTCTCAGAATTCTAAAATGCACGGAACTATAATTAGTATTTCATTCATATAAAAATAGTAAATAGGAAGAAAGTATTATCGTGCATGATAGGAAGGTAAAACGTTCCCAAAGTCAACACAATTAGAGAGGTTCGTAGCGTCCCGATTGTCATGTGCACATCGTGAAATCACGAAGTGATTGAAGATAATTTCGTACGTGTCTTCTTGATCCAAATTAGTGACGCCGGGGCAATAGTTGATAGTAAATAACAGTACAATGAATATACACATAATTGTTAAATGCAGGGACCTTTATCTAGTAATACATTAAAAAAACTAATTATAATTCGGGACATATAATTATCTTACATGATATGACCCGTATCATGTGTACTCAAGCGGAAAAATAGTACGTACCGTCTCGATTCAAGGATTGACGCCGTATTGATAATAAATAATGGCTACGAAGAATTGTACAATGCTGATAGGGCCTACCTATCATCAGTATAAAGTCCATATACAAACGAACATTTAGTAACAAAATTATTATTTTTAATGATACGAACGTGAAACGTTCCCAACTTCAAAACAAAATTAGTGGGACGATGCGTCCCTCATTGTCGTTGTACGTCGTGAAGTCAGTCAACTTTTCGGCCCAACCAGTGCCCCTGCGACATGCCTAGTAATCTAGGCCTAGCCATCGATAGGGAACTAGCGCATTACTTTTGCCGGCACTAAAATCCTTGTTTAAAATTGTCCAGTGGAATTCTTTGTAATATTTGTTACGAATATATTTAATATATTTCTTATACTCTTGTCTTAGTTTTTTAGGTCAATTATAGTAGAGCTGTAGTTTGGCAGGATTTGGCCAGTAAGTCTGAATAAATAGGCCTGATATCCAGAGTGTTAAACAAACACTATTAATAATCCGGGCCAGTTTAGATTGAATTATTGTCTTTTTGGTTTCTTTTGTATATATTTGTATTTTTGGCTGAATAATTAATGAATGAGTGTTGACATTTCCAAACGCTGACGCGGACATTTCGTAACATGGACATTTCGGAAATTAGCTGGATTATCACCGGTGCCCGCTTGCCAAGCGTTTTCGTTGAAGTCACGGTAATCTTTTTTTGTAATTTTTCCTCTTCATTGTCAATTTACAGTGTCTATCACGAATATTGGTTAAGATTATATAGGCCTATTACAGGACACCTTAGGAAGCATGGGCTAAACACTACAAAGGCAGATTCACGTCCATACAGGCGTATCCACAGAAAATACGGGTAAATATATAACCTTGAAAAGTGTTTTTGAATTATTGTAGTCCATATAGAGGTCACCTTAGAGTTTGTGGGGTGTTACAAATTACATTATCGCTGTTGTGTAATGAGCTCCTCAGATCTTATTATCTCTTCGACTGCATGTGATATTCAACTGCAAAAAAAAGACATATTTAGGTAGGAATTATGACATATCGTAATGTTGCACAATACTAGAAGTCATAGACTGCATGCTTTATCTAGAGTTTAGCTCTTCTTACCATTTTATCAACCACTTAATTAAGGCCTAACAACAACAATAATAAAATAAAATAATTCAATAACAGGCCCAAATATAGCAACAATATAATAATTAAAAAAATATTAATTGGAAACAAGATTAATATATTAATTATTGTAAACTGTCAGGACTATAAGTTCCGATCATACCTTTAGCTCAAGTGTGACCTTATGATAAATGTCTGGTTTATAGTCATCTAGTGTAGATATATCGTTTCCATGTGTAATGAGGTTCACCAAAACCATTGTATCATCTAAGAAACTACACGTCTTGCACACAGGTCCACATATGTACTGTTTTCTAAAGTATTCCAGGTTGAAATCTCGAATGATTATTTCGTCAATAAAAATAATCATTTTTTTGTAAAACGAACATAGTCTGAGTCTTGTCTTCACTTATAACTTCAACTTTGATAAGATTTCTGTCGTATGAAGAATTAGTGTTTCCATGAATCACTTCTGTGTGGATGAAGAATAGACATGATTTACCTGTCCTAAATCTTGCTGCATTGTAATAGATCTCATCCCAACTAAACACTTCACAACATTTAGCGATGAGACGTAAAAATATAAATTCTTGAAGAATTTCACCAAAGTCGAAATAGAAAATGTGTTGCGAGTGAACATTGCTGTTCTGTGTTGTTGACATTAAATTGCTTTTAAATGGCAGTCGACACGAGAGATAAAAAGTACCGACTTGGTCGACTGGATCAATAACATTAAGCGGGAAAATTAGTTGTGTTCCCACTAAGAAACGAATGATGTAAGGGTAATGTCGCCAGATGTTTTTCTGCCTACAAATGTGTTCCAGTATTCTGCTGTCAACAATACCAGTCTCTTCCAAACTCTGCCATAAGTCAGCTACAGTCCGATTTCTTAGGTGAGGTTCAGGCACATTTACTAAGATTGTCAGAATGTCTATGAGCATTTGAGGGTCACAGATAACGTAATATCGGAGTGTCTCATCAAGTTCATTGTATATGACATCACCAGATCTGTCAAAGAAGTTCAAAAATTGGCACAGCTCATTCTGAGAAATGATATTACATGTTGATTTGACTTCCTCTAAGATCTGTGCTAAACTCATGATAATGTAATTTTGCAATCGAAACCTGTTCAAAATTTCATGAAATAGAAGGTATTTTATTGAATGATTCTCCTGAAAAAAATCCAATTTTTTAATCTCATTATAAATAACTGTTTGTAGCACGTTGCGTTCTTCGTCTACCGGTAACGAATTTTCAATAAAAAAGAAAAAATTGCCTGAAGGATGGAACGCAAGTAACTTAGAAAATGGTTTGTAGAGATGCGATTTCGCAAGTTGAGTAAAATTCAAAAGAGCATTTATGTCAATAACACTTTCTCGTCTTGTTCCTACAAGAAACACCACAACATTTTTAATGTCTCTATGCATAGCAACTGATTGCAACCAAAATTGTAGCCGTTTAACTTGTTTTCTAGGATCCATAACCGCTTTGACGGCGTTGAATACAATTAGATATACACCCTGCTTTGGCATGAAGAGATGGTGAGTGTTATAGTATATGTTTTGTCCTGCAAAATCCCATAAACTAAGTCTAGCATCCAAATAGGATTCATTACGAATACCTGCTTCCATTGATTTTTTTATATGCATTACCGGTATAGAGGTTGTGTTCTTCACTTTCACATATGAAAACCATTCGTAGACAAGAAAGGCAACGATAGGTACCAGAAATAGCAATAAACTGAACAAATATCGTGGAATAAAGTATTGGGTATCTTGTAAGTTCAGAACTTTAAAATTTGGCTGTTCCCACCCACAAAGAAATGCTATAAATATACCAGCTACAAAACCAATAGATTTCCTGATAATATACATTTGAGGGATATACCCATAGGCAGCAAACATTCTTCCTAAAAGGACTCCAGCGGATATAAAACTTACAAGTACAAAAATGCACGTACATGTATAAAATAGGTTTAAAAAATTCGGCCCTCCGATAAATCCCGCGCCCGTGAGACAAACAAAAATGCTTAGTAATACAGGTATACTCAATGACAATATTTTAGCGGGAACATATCTGAACATCACTATAGTAATAATTACAACGATGTAAACTATCAAATTATAATATAGTTTGCTCAGGCCCGTAGCCAGGGGGGTTTTTAGGGGTTCGGGCGAACCCCCCTTTTTCAGCGAACCCCCCTTTTGCCAGCGAACCCCCTTAACCAGAAAACGATCCCCCGTTTTCAAAATAGTGCAATTTATTACAAAATGGGAGAATTTTGGCACTGTTTATTTGTCGCTATCGATCGTAGTCCAATCGTAGAAATCAAAACAAAGCTGCAGCCAGCTGAATGACGTAACCAGCAAGACTTCAAAATGAATATTAATGAGAGGTTTGTTGCCTAAGCTATTTGACCAATCGCGTGCTCCGTAGTTTATTTACTTTGGCACGAAGTCATCACAAAAGTTTGGGCGCTCGACATTTTTCATTTCTCTGGATCGAGGACATGCGACACGCCAAAAATAGCCTAGGAGGAGGATGAAGCGCCGAGAAAGAATAACCGATTTTTTTGCTTCAAGGCCAGCAACGAAGAAATCACGAAATTTAAGAAGTTAGAAAATTCACCCTTGTTTTCACCACATGCTCATGATACTGCCTGGCGGCGTGATCGGTGTACTTTTTCGGGCTAGGCCTAGGCCCTAGGTCTAGCGTTGCTAGGTAGGGTAGGGTCGTAGCCGATTTTATTATTTATTTTGTAATCGAGCTAGCATAGGCCAGGGCCTAGGCTAGCTAGGCTAGCAAGGAAATATACTTGGTAATGTTTTCACGTTTCGTCAGAATTAACTGACATTATTCATAATAATATATTATTTTTTTTCTCAATATATCTCATTTAAACCAAGACAGCTCTTAAATTATTGTTTATTTTCACTGTGCTAATTTTTTTTACATAAACTGGTTCTTAAACATGTACATTTGTAGCATTATAGTTATGTCTGTTTTTTTTTTTTCAATATTACAGTGCAAGTATATTTACATGGTTCTGTAACTTGTAAATATAATAACATTTTTCCTTGCCCTAATTATATATATTTCCATTGCAACTTAACATTTAAGTTATTTTGGTAAAAAATTAAAATGTAGGGCTGTCAGTTCCTATATTCCCATTTCTGCAATAAATAAAATATTATTTGCAATATTTCTCTTTTAAGCAAAGACCTTTTACATACCTCCATATTTTAATATTGGTATTTAGCGATTTCATAATGCGCAAGGTCTGTGTTTTGTACAGTCACCTAGTGGGTATTGCTAATTTTATCCCAGTTATATTTTTAGAGATAACATTACATAGTAGCATTAAAATGTTAAGCATTGCTTTTCAATAAAAAAATAAAAAAAAGTTTGTTTCACAATAAACATTTACGTTCTAAATCCTGTATTGGAAAAAGTAGTCTTCTTATCTTTTTTTCAAAATTGTGTAAGAAGTATTTAAATATACATGAACATGCATTTAAATGACATGTACATGCTTTTAAAATCGTATAAATGCTCTGGCTTCGGGGGATTCGCCCCCGGCCCCCACAGGGGCTTAGCGACCTCTCCTCGGGCCCTTTGGCGGCTGTCTCTTATACACATCTAGATGTGTATAAGAGACAGATGAAACTTTGGGTGATCTGACGTCATTGAAGCATGTGTTTGC